CCCAAGTGTTAGCTGTACAACCAGCCCGGACAGGGGTAGGAGGACAACAGATGCCCAGAAAAGAGAAAACCCTCCAGATGACCTAAAATGGTGGTACTTCAGGGGAAAAGGTATTATTTTTGAAAAGACATTGCAAAAAAGAAAGAAAAAGTGGACTCTACAAATCTGTTTAAGGGGAAAAAAATGTATCAATGGTATACCACTTGGGTCAGTGAACAAATTTACAAAGCCATGTTAATGTAAAAACAAATATGACTAAAATTAGTAAAATTCTATTGGGAGTATATGGAAGAGCAGATGGGGAATAAGAGAACTAAAAGCTTTATTTCTTCCTAAAAGGAAGTACTATAAATATAGGTCATGTCTAAAACTGTTATTAACACAAGAGTATAGACACATTAATTAGAAGTGTGAAAATAGTTACCAAATGAAACACCTAAAAGAATGCAAAGTGATGGAGTCCCTCTGGGATATGGGCCCAAAGGGTCAGGAGGAGCAGAGCAGGAAACACTTTATGCACTATAAATATTTTGGTGCTTTTCCCCCCATGTGCATGTATTGATGTGATAATTTTTAGAAGTATATAAATGCACATTCCTGAAAACGAATTCCAGAAATTTGGAATCAGTAAGTCTAGCGGCATAGGAATCTTTGCCTTTAAAAAGCTCCCGCAGTGATTCTGACAAATTTATTCTTGTGTCCCTGCTTTTGGAAACACAAATAAAGAGGCAGCAACCAGTAAAAGAGCAGTAACATCGATCTGCCAAGTGGAGAAATGCCAGGAGCTATAGGATGTCAGGATGCGCATCTCCCAGACAGCTTCCTACCATTTAACTAATAAAATGGATAAATATTAGAAGGCACATAAAAACTAATAGGTTGTAAGTGACCTCATAATTTAATCCCTGTCTGTAAGAAAACTTCACAGATAGGTCAGGTTGTCTTTCTTTTTATATTTGTTGAAAACCAAAAGCCTTGATTGAAAAATTAGCCTGGGGAAAAACATGAAACATCATGAAATGAGGGAAGCTTTTTAACTAAGAGATGTTAGATCAACCCTCTTTCAGACTCTGCGGTTTCTACCTAAACTGTGTGAAATCAATCTTGATTTTTATAATAGTTTAAAGAATGTTATCAGGATCTCTGGTGCCTACACACAATTGCTGAAATAGGTAGAATACTTAATAATAAGAAGTTGGATGGCTTCTGGGTATTATGGAAATTTCTTCTAGGAAAGCTTCTTCGGGGACACTATAGGACCCGTGGGCATTGTTGGCTCATTTAGTTCTCAAAAAGTAGCCAAGGCTACCGTGTGCTCATTTTCTCCTGTCCCCTACCCCTTCCCAGGACTAAGTGCTGACTGAGAAAGAAAGAATTCCCACCCCACCCTTGTTTCTATTGTGCAGGACCTTAGGTCAACTTTTTAGTAGAGTGGATTTTTCTTTGTGTCCACACAAACTATTGACATCTCTGTGCCTAAATTGGAGATAACCTAGAACCAGCAAAGTTGATTAAAATGCTTTCATGCTTATTTCAATGTTGAATGAGAATGCTAAACCTTTTAAATACCAGTGATTTGTTTGTAATCTATTAATTTTGTTAATTTTTGAGGTTCATTTATAGGTAAAATCATTACAGAAAAGGAAATTAATTTTGTCCCTAACATGTATTTGTGTTTTTCTCCCAGAAAATTTATTTCTCCCAGAAAATGCAAAGCTGGTTTGTTTTTGCTTTAATAGCAATTAAGCTATTGGTCCAATCACATTGACTACATTATACTGTAACAGTGGAATTCCTCCAATTCAAATTTCATTTCTTAATTTCTAAGAGTATCCATCCATCATCAATCCATCATCCATCCATCCATCCCTCCAGTACTTATTGAGCACCTGCTGTTTGTCTGGCAGTTTCAGGTTCTAGGGATACACAAGAAAAGAAAACTTCACTCATGGGGAAACCTCTATTCCTAATTGGTTGAAAATTTACATGAGAAAGGTTTTATACATAGGTATGTGTGCATTTATGATAGCTATGTTTTCATTTGACTATATATAACTATATATTCTTTGATTTTTGTCAAAATAGTTTATCTTTACCAGTTATGGTTATCATTTTACTCAAAACTTTCTAGGAATGCCCACTGAAGGTGAAATATTAACATATACTATGATGGCATATAAATCTTTTTCTAGGTATTCCCCACTACTGTGCCTTTGCATATGCTGTTCCCTCTTCCCAATGTTTTCTTCACTTGTCCCACCCAAACCCCTGCTCCCCAGCAAATGTCTACTCATCATTGAAAACTCTGTCAGTCATCACCTTTTCTATGAGTCCTTCCTTCGCTAAGCACTTCCCAATAGAACCCATCACCCTTTCCCTCTGTACCATTTCTGGACTTTGTTCATATTTTTATTATTGCACCGATATAAATATTCATTAACATGTCACTCATTATTTCTATACTGTAAACTTCTTGAGGACAGAAATACTTGTCCCTTCGTTTTTGCACCCCTAATAATTAGCAGAATGCCTGGCACATACGGATATTCACTAAGTATTAGCTGAACTAAACTGAGGAGCCTTTCCCTCTGTTATAAATTGTGGGGTGCCACATAAATGTGTTCACATTTTATTTCAAATTATCTCAAAATTAAAAATAAACATTTTTTAATACTTAGTAAGCAGATTTTAACATCCAATTAAATTCTTTTCTGATGAAAGAAATTCTCCTCCCTAGAAAAGCCTAATAAAATTATATAGTTAGGAACACGCTTTTCTTTTTAAAAAATTTCTGTTGCCCACTCCCCCCCCCCCACTTTTGACTTTGTGTCAACATTGTGGTTATTATAGATTCATCCTATGTCTATTATGTTACAATCACTAATTTACATATCGAAGGCCCCTCCTAGACCTAAACTCCTTGTGAGGGGGCCCTTGTCAGATCCATTTTGTAGTCTTGGTGCAGTGACTGTGAAAGGGAAGAGCTGAACAGGTATTTGTTGAATTAATAAACAGAGGAATAAATAGGAGACAGGGAATAGAATTACATCCTATGTTCTTC